CGTGCGCCCGCGGGCGGCTCCGCGTGGTGCCGCCTCATGCAGCCGCACCTCGGAGGGTGCGCGGAGCAAGTGGGGTGAAAGCCGCAGCCCCTCGTGGCACATCGCACCCGGCGCTCTCTGATGGGGTTGGTTTTGACTCGTTCTGCCTCGGAGCCGAGGGGATTGACTGGAATGGGAACACTTCCCGGTTCCAGCTCCCATAGACTTGCTCTCTTGTAGCAGCTTTTCCTGTGGTGAGAGCTGCTGGTCTGCAGGAAGACTGAGCCGTCCTCAGGGATCGCAGTTTGGATCCTCATGGAGTTACAGTGAGAAGGACAGTGCCCTGCAGAGCTGTCTCTGGCACAGCTTTAATGCAGCTGCACTGGGATGAAGAGCTCTTTGATTTAATGGCAGTTCCTCATTTACACTCTGGTTTGTTGTAGTCCCTCTGGGAACATTCCAACTTCCCAACCTGTTTGCGCTGTTCCCAAAGGGAGCGCTCCTCTTTGCTCAGCATTCCCAAAGCTGCTCGGGGTCAAGGCTGGGATAGGAAACGCACCAGGAGCACTTGTCTTGGTTGCATGGAGGGAGCTCTGGACAAGCAGCCACGTTGTCACCCACCCTGAGCAGCCGAGGAGAGCCTGTGGGATGGGATTGTTAAACCAGAGCCTTGTGCTGGGAAACACCCCAGGATCTGGGAGCTGAGGAGGGCAGTGGCCTCAGTGCTGTTTGCTTGGAACACCCCATCCTGACACATGGCATTCACTGAGCAGGGGGATGCAGAACAGGGAAAACCTCTGCCTAACATCTCATCCCAGTCTCCCCTCTGGCAGCTAAGCTGTGTTAGGATTGTTGTTCCCAATGAAGTGGGGACAGAATGAAGACCAACCACCTGGCAAGGGGGTTTCCAGCCCTCCAGGCTCTTCTTGCCCCCTGATACTGGCACACACACATTGCTCACTAGGATTTGAAGCTCCTTCTCTTGTTTTCAGCTTTGGTTGCAAAGGTTTCTTTGAGGCTGTTTGAATGTAACATCTTGACTGGCTGCAAACACCACAGAGATGTTTTCCTGTGGCCCAGCTATTCCTCTGGGCTCATTACTGGAGCTGGGAGGCACCAGTGTGGCAGCAGCGTTATTCCACACTAAATCCAGAACTCGGCTATGAAGCAGCTCCTATCCAGAGCACCAGATAAACGTGTGTATGTTCGGTTTTCTTACAGCCAGAAGAGGAGCCGAAAGAGGAAGCAGCCCCAGCCAAACCTGTGGTTGGAATTATTTACCCTCCTCCAGAAGTCCGGAATATTGTGGACAAGACTGCCAGTTTTGTAGCCAGGTAATGGACTCTGCTGTTGGCTCATGATTCCTGGGATTTTCCTTTTCCTCATTGGTGCTGATGGCTGTGCAGCTCTGGAAGCTGAAGGAGGTCCCAGTCCTGTGACAAGGCTGCTCACTTGTGTGGTAGCCCTGGGGTGAAATCCCAGCCCTGTTTGTGCTCAGCTCAGTGAGCCCCGTCTCACCCTTCCCTCACAGCCAGAGGGAGAGAAGCTCCTCTCCAGAGAGTGTGTGGTCCTCCCTGGGGCAGGATCTCCTGCCTTGGTTGACACCAGCAGTGTGATCAGTGGGACTGGATGTCAAATGTAGGGAGGAGTCAAAAAGCTGAATAAATTAGATTCATTTGGGCTTTTTCCATTTGCCAACTGGCATCATTCGTAGAATCCCAGCCTGGTTTGTGTTGAAGGGACCTCAAAGCTCCTCCAGCTCCAAACCCTGCCACGGGCAGGGACACCTTCCACTAGAGCAGGTTGCTCCAAGCCCCTGTGTCCAACCTGGCCTTGAACACTGCCAGGGATGGGGCAGCCACAGCTTCTCTGGGCACCCTGTGCCAGCGCCTCAGCATCCTCACAGGGAAGAACTTCTGCCTCAGAGCTCATCTCAATCTCCCCTCTGGCAGGTTAAAGCCCTTGCCCTTGGCCTGTCCCTCCAGGTCCTTGTCCAAAGCCCTCCTCCAGGTTTCCTGTAGCCCCTTTAGGCACTGGAGCTGCTCTAAGGTGTCCCCTTCAGGAGCCTTCTCTTCTCCAGCTGACCCAGCCCAGCTCTCTCAGCCTGGCTCCAGAGCAGAGCTGCTCCAGCCCTCGCAGCAGCTCCGGGGCCTGATTTCTGTGTTATTACTGCGTGAGGTCTTGGGGCCAGATCCTGGTCCTCTTGGCAGCATATGGGGAGCACGGGAGGTGCCACCCCTCAATTGGCTCATTCTTAACCTTCCTGGCACCCAGCAGCCCCATGCTGGGTGCTGTCACCTCGCCAGAAAGGGCCACTTGTCACTGTGGGTTTAAGGGAGTTACTCGATGCTGCTCTGGACAAAGGCACTTATTGTGTAACTGAACTCTAAGTGCTGCCAGGGAGCAGTTGGCTTCCTGTGAGGATAAGGAAAGGGCTGTTTATCCTTTGGTATTGTAGAGACCTCCTCTTTTGGAAGAGGAGGAGTGTCCAATCAAGACTTGGAGGTAACCTGAGGGTATGAAGAGAAACATGCTCTGGCTCAAGCTATGCCCAGATACATGGATGGGAGGAATGGATGGTACCTCAGCTTAGGGCTCCATGAATGCAACCCTGCTGTGTTCAGCCTCTGCACAGCTTGCTCCTTACCTATGCTTTTCCTTATATGAGCTTTCTGGAAGTGAAACTGGTCCTAAAAGCTTGTGAATAGAACAAATAAAGTCAGTCAATAAGTAACTTGTAAACTTCATCCCATAAACTCTCAGTCCAGTAAATCGCCTTTTGTTTGTGCATGGCCAGATGAGGTTGTGGAGCAGTGCTGAGTTTTGAGCTGTCTGAAGAAACAGTCACTGTGGAGTGTTCAGACTAAATCAGGACAAATGCCTTTAACTTGGGTGTGTGGAGCTGTTGGGTGTGAGTTACTTAGGGGTGAACTCCTTCCGTGGAGGAGAGGAAATCATCCTCTGAGGGACTGATGCATCAACACATCTTACCATGAAAGAAACAGACCTTTACCCTGGAGCTGATGCCTTTCAGCTGAACAATCCCTCTGTTTCCTCCCCAGAAATGGACCTGAGTTTGAAGCTCGAATTCGTCAGAATGAGATAAACAACCCCAAGTTCAATTTCCTGAACCCCAACGATCCCTACCATGCCTACTACCGGCACAAAGTCAGTGAGTTCAAAGAGGGCAAAGCCCAGGAGCCCTCGGCTGCTATTCCCAAGGTGATGCAGCAGCAGCAGACAGCCCAGCAGCAGCTGCCACAGAAGGTAAGTGTTCCTTTCACTCGATCAGAGAACCTGGCTTCTCCCTGGTGGCCCACAGCCTGATGTGAAGCAGGAGGTTGGGAACACAAGGAGCTGGTTACACACCTGTGAGAAAGCCAGCAGTGAGCCATTGGAGTTCAGTGCCAGGCTTGGTTTGCTGCACGTGGGCAGCCCCCAGTTGCTGGGAACTCAAAATGGTGTGGGAAAGAGCCACTTTATTGTTCTGCTTGGTCCTTTTTAATGGCAGTTGTGTGTTGACTGACACGGTGCCTACACTAGTGATCACTCGGATTGGATGGATTTAGGATTCCTGCCATAGGTGAGTCTTGGAGTTCACTTTGGGCTTGTCTTGTAGAAATACTCCCTTTTTGCCTGCCAGAAGGATCAGGTTCCCCTTAAAATCTGGAATGCAAAGTGTTGCTAGCCTTGCCTAGCTGTGCCTTTTCCATACTGGCTAGAACAAGGCCAGTGGCTGAATCCAAGTCTTCCCCATGTTTTGCACACCCAGCAGTTGCGCTGGGTGGCATTGCCCATCTTGCAGGATTACAGCAACATCCTGACAGCTTCCAGCTTTGTTAGCTGGTGGAGCAGTGCTTGTTTTTACAGTGGGCCCAAACCCGGATCTCCAGATGCACCCTGTGGTACCAGCTTTTCTCCTTCTCGCAGCTGCCAGCATCTCCGATGTTGCTTTCCTGCAGCAGCTGAAAGCAAAAGGGGTTCTCCAAGTGTTTGGTGGTGGTTTCCCGAGGGCAGTGCCTGAGCCGTGCCCTTCTGCTCTGCAGGTGCAGGCCCAGGTGATCCAGGAGACAGTGGTTCCCAAAGAGCCTCCTCCAGAGTTCGAGTTCATTGCGGACCCTCCCTCCATCTCCGCCTTTGACCTGGATGTGGTGAAGCTGACGGCACAGTTCGTGGCGCGCAATGGGCGGCAGTTCCTCACGCAGCTGATGCAGAAGGAGCAGAGGAACTACCAGTTTGATTTCCTGCGCCCCCAGCACAGCCTCTTCAACTACTTCACGAAGCTGGTTGAGCAGTACACCAAGGTACCCAGCAGCTCACCCACCAGGTTCCTCCCTCAGCAGCAGCGTTGGGGTCTGGAGGCTACTGAAGCGCTGGAAACATCTGCAGGACCACGAAGGTGCTGAGGCGCTGGCACAGGGTGCCCAGAGAAGCTGTGGCTGCCCCATCCCTGGCAGTGTTCAAGGCCAGGTTGGACACAGGAGCTTGGAGCAACCTGCTCTAGTGGAAGGTGTCCCTGCCCATGGCAGGGGGTTGGAGCTGGAGGAGCTTTAAAGTCACTTCCAACCCAAACCAGGCTGGGATTTTATGGGTCTGTCCTTTAAATCCCACTGAGTGGGTATCTCACACTGTTGGCAGTGTGCAGTGCTGAACATAGTGGGCTGTTACTTAAATGAACTGGCCCCTACTGTAATGTAAGACCTGTGGGGTTTTAAATACACAGGGTAGTTGGAAAGCCAGGAGAGAGTATTTTCTAGTGCAAGCAGGAGGGATAAGTAATAAGAGGGTTGCAGTAGACTAACTGGAGCATAGGACTGGGCTCTGCTGGTGTTTTCATCCCTGAGGAAAGAGAATAATTAGCTTTTAAGGAGGCTCTGGCAAAAAGAATTGTCACCAACTGTCCTGCATCATGTGTTTCAGATCTTGATCCCACCCAAAGGTTTGCTCCTCAAACTCAAGAAGGAGGCGGAAAATCCCAAGGAAGTCCTTGATCAGGTAATGCCTGGAAAATGTATCAAAGCATTTCACTGATGTTTTGAATGCTTTCCCTTCGTGTGTTTCTGGTTTATGGGCAGCAAATACAAATACACAGACAATAAAATGGGTGTTTCCTCTGTAGCCACTTGGACACAGGGTGCTCCAGTTGCCTTCACTGGCTCCCTTGGTGCCAAGGGTGGCAGCAGAGGCACAGGAACTGCATGAAGCTTTTCAGAGCAGAGTGTTTTGCTCTCAGGCAACTTCACTGTGACACCTCAGTCACTTGGAGTCCTTCCAGGTTGTTCTTTATTGCTTTGACATCTGTCTTCATCACACAGAGGCATTTCTTTTGGAAAGGTGGAATTACAGGGTTGCAATTGAGTGGCTGGGAATTGTTTGCTAGGAATCTTCAGTGATACCCAAGTCACATCAGACCTGGATGGCCTGATCTTGTCTCCAGCTTTAGAGAGAACCACTTCACAGAGCTGGTGCTTCACACAGCAGGCAAACCTGTGCTTTCTAAAGGAAATAGTTCTTTGTCGTGCCAGGCCTCTGGAATACTGCCTGTGTAACTGCCCTGAAGGGGTTGGTAGCATGAACCTTTAGGTGCTGTAGAGGTGACTGTGTTGTGTTTCTTGTCTGACATTTAGTGTGTGCTTTGTCTGTTTGTGCAGGTGTATTACAGAGTGGAGTGGGCAAAGTTCCAGGAGCGAGAGAGGAAGAAGGAAGAGGAGGAGAAAGAAAAGGAGCGTGTGGCTTATGCCCAGATTGACTGGCATGACTTTGTGGTGGTGGAAACAGTTGACTTTCAGCCCAATGAGCAAGGTACTGAGGCATTGTAACCTCTGTGAAACTCTGCTCCCTTTGAACAGGAGCTGTGTCCTGAAGTGCTGGGTTTAGGCAGACAGTGGGGTTTACAGGTGTGGGGAAAGCCTTCTAGTGACACCAGGGCTGGGATTTCTCTGGAGTCAGTGATGTTCCCCTTGAACTAAGTCCAGGCCTGCACTAGTGTCGCTTTCCCACTTCCTCCAGGACAGCAGAACTTGTTCCACTTTCTGGCAGCACTTTCACCTGCCAAGGAATCATGGAATGGTTTGGGTTGAAGGGACCTCAAAGCTCCTCCAGCTCCAACCCCCTGCCACGGGCAGGGACACCTTCCACTAGAGCAGGTTGCTCCAAGCCCCTGTGTCCAAGCTGGCCTTGAACACTGCCAGGGATGGGGCAGCCACAGCTTCTCTGGGCACCCTGTGCCAGCACCTCAGCACCCTCACAGGGAAGAGCTTCTGCCTCAGAGCTCATCTCAGTCTCCCCTCTGGCAGGTTCAAGCCATTGCCCTTGTCCTGTCCCTCCAGGCCCTTGTCCAAAGCCCCTCTCCAGGTATCCTGGAGCCCCTTTAGGCACTGGAGCTGCTCTAAGGTCTCCCCAGAGCCTTCTCTTCCTAAGTACTTCCTAAGTTCTAGCTGTAAGTACCTTCATGTGTCATGCTGATGTTGCTCTGGACAGGCTCCATCCTTTCCCTTTTACATACCTTGGCTCCGAGGAGAATTTTCGATGCCACTGCTGTGTAAAGAAGCTGCTTTTCATTCAGGAGGTTGATACTTGCCTGTGCATTGAGCAGTGAAGTGGGATAGAGAAACAGGAGCTGTGTTTTCTGCATTGTAGGGAATTTCCCTCCTCCCACCACTCCGGAAGAGCTGGGAGCTCGGATCCTTATCCAGGAGCGGTATGAGAAGTTTGGGGAAAGTGAGGAGGTGGAGATGGAGGTGGAGTCAGATGAGGAAGATGAAAAGCAAGAGAAAACAGATGAGCCCCCAGCCCAGATGGATCAAGACACGCAAGTGCAGGATATGGATGAGGTAACTTCCCAACAGACCCATTACTTCTGTCCCATCAAGTTTATGTGCTCCTCGATGCGTTTGCACTGTAAGAAGTTCCCCAGTTTCTGGAGGAAACAAGATTTCTTTCTCATGGAACTTCAGACCAACCCGTTTCTGCTGGAATATGCTGTTTTTCATGTTTTCCCTTAACAATACAATTTATCCAAAAGAGAAATGCAGTAGGGCTATCACCTCACGGTGGGGGTTTTAACTTTCTGTGGGCAAGCCTTTGGGCCATGCTCTGCAGAGTCTGGAATGCTGAAAGATGACTCATTTTAGACTCTTCCTCCACCCACTTGTAAGCTCTTTTGTGGTCACAAGGAACAAGAGCAGGGTTAACCATAAGTCCCTGCTTGCTCTGCTCTTTAATGTGGAAGCTGAGGGGTTCTTGCTTCCTCTTCTGGGTCTGCTGAACTGGGGTTTATCCAGAGGAACCACTGTGGGTGTCAGAGGCAGAAAAGCTCCATCTCTTTGCAGCTGCAGCATCAGCTCTTCCAGCACTGCACAGGATGTTTATGCCTTTCCCAAATGTTGTCTGTGGGTATTTGGCTGCTGGAACTTGGTTATCATTCTTGGGTTTGATTTAAATAAGGGCTCAGATGATGAAGATGAAGGTCAGAAGGTTCCTCCTCCTCCAGAAACCCCGATGCCACCACCTCTTCCTCCCACACCAGACCAGGTCATCGTGAGGAAGGATTACGATCCCAAAGGTAAGTCAGGCTGCTGAGGGTCTGTTCTCCCCCACTGACCACAAGAGCATTTGGTTCCAGGTTGCTTCAACACGCTGCTTTCCTTTCCAGCCTCAAAGCCGTTACCACCCGCCCCAGCTCCAGATGAGTATCTTGTTTCCCCCATCACTGGAGAGAAGATTCCTGCCAGTAAAATGCAGGAGCACATGAGGATTGGCCTCCTGGATCCTCGATGGCTGGAGCAGCGCGACCGCTCCATCCGGGAAAAGCAGAGTGATGATGAGGTCTATGCCCCAGGTGAGCTTCAGGGCAGGCTGTGATGAGTTCTGGGCACTCTTAGCAGACCCCTTCTCTCCCCCAGCTCCCTCTGATAAAGCCCATCTTAAATGTAGCTTTCTGTTGTCCTCAGCGTGCTGATTATGTGGCTGCATTTGTCTTTAGTGCATCAAAGCCTTTCTGTGAAGCTAAGGGCAAAGAGCATAGGCTGCTGCTGAGCAGCAGTTGCTGTCTCCTAAAGAGACTCTGCCACTAGGTACCATAAAGATCATTGACAGAGGCTTGGTCACATTTGATTGTGTCTCTTGAGATAACTTCTCTTGCTGCTTGCAGGTTTGGATATTGAAAGCAGCCTGAAGCAGCTGGCAGAGCGCCGTACTGATATCTTTGGTGTAGAAGAGACTGCCATTGGTAAAAAGATTGGTGAAGAGGAGATCCAGAAACCAGAGGAAAAGGTAGAGTGGATGTTGGTGTTGGTTTGGTTTTAGCAGGTTCCAGTAGTATTCTATATGCTCAGAGACACACGAGTCTTTTGACCTGTGTTCTTGCTGCCAGACTGCTCTCGATGTCTTTGCAGTTCATGTTGCAGCCTGGACAGGCTGGGGTTAGGCTTATTCTGATGTATTTTATCCTCTCAGGTGACCTGGGATGGCCACTCAGGCAGCATGGCCCGCACACAACAGGCTGCTCAGGCCAATATCACCCTCCAAGAGCAGATTGAAGCAATCCATAAGGCCAAGGGACTGGTGCCAGAAGATGACAGCAAGGAGAAGATCGGTCCCAGCAAACCCAATGAGATACCCCAGCCACCCCCTCCGTCATCAGCATCAAATCCCCCTGCTAGTGCTCAGCCCATCACATCTGTGCCTCGTCCCCCCACGGTGAGCGTTTGGGCTTCCAAAGGCACCTTACTCAGGCCACAGTTAATTAGAAGGGAGTCCTGATGAAGGTTAAGGGTTATAAGAGCAGGTTATAAACAGGCCTAGGGGCAGATTTTGCATTGTTTGAGATTCATTTGGAAACATCAGAATGTTGAACTTGCTGTTAAAAATGGGAAGTAAGACTCGGGTGGAGTGGTTTGTCCTTGGAAGCATCAGAAAAATGTGAGCAGCTGAGCAGAGGGAGCACCTGGGTGGGGAGGTCTCAGAGGCAGAGCGTGGCTGACACAGGGAGGATGCAGAACCAAAGGAGCTGCAGGTAAGAGCTGCTCAGGGTGACTCCCTGCCCCGGGGGTTCTGCTGCCTGACTGAAAGTGGCTCCTGGGGTGGAGAGGGAAGGAAGAACCAGCTCATTTGTTAATGAGGCTCCTGAGCCTATTCACAGGCAGCCTGGGCCTGAGGTTCCCAGCAATCCTTAGTCCAGCAGAAATCCATGTTATTTTAGCCAGGATTGGGAACAGCCC